AAAAAAGTTAATTAGCAAGTCGATAGTTGATCAGTTTTCCCAAAATATTCAGTTTCAATATAAAACGGATAGTGTTAAAGGAAATCTCTTAAACTTCTGCCAGGATTTCAGCAAAATCATAAATATATAAAAGCCCCATGGAACCTCAAAAATTGAATAATGGATTTTGAGGTTTTGAAAACAAGATGAGAAATACCTCCGTGTCTGTGGTCTCCTCCCTTGTTAACATCAGTTGAATTATTCTTTTCTGATTAAGGACACGTTTTTATGTTGCTGTTAACAATATGTGTTTACAAGTCTCAGAAAAAATCATGTCCATAAGGTAAAAATACAGTTGCTTAACTTTAATTATCAGTTATTTACTTTTATTAAAGCATGAAACTGAAAGCAATATTTACTAATTGGTTTGATTTGTAAAACATTATTTGGATGGTTCTTGGAAAGTTGTAAATACTGTGTAATGTTTTAAACAGTGTCCATTATAAAGTTGTTACTGACATAGGTGGTGTGATGTGGTGGCCAAATCACACTGTGAACCTGGACGCAAAGTTGTGACCAAAACTACTCGGTCAGGTTTGGGTTAATTTATGACAAAGTAGAAGAGACACTGGTCTCAGTATTGTGGTCACACATGAGCAACACTAAAGGAAACCTTCTGCTTGAATGTGAGACACCAGAGGCTTTGACTAAATGTCAGTAACTGACACCCTGGAATTATGCTCAGTAATAAAACCTTTATTATTAAAGTCTTATAACCCATCATTTACGGGTGGAGCTGTGCTAAGGTACCTGTACACCCTAGACAGGAGACAAGACCACACAAAACAATATACAATTATATAATTGAGTTTTTTTATTTTTTATTTTAATTACACAAATTAATGACACTTACATGAATTTCTCAATTAGTAATGATTTGCAAACACTTGCCCTGCAGGGCAAGCTCGGATCCTGGGAAGCCTGGGAGCTTGAGGATCCTGCACAGTATCTTAGCTGCTCCTAGGACTGCGCTCTTTTGGACAGAGATCTTAGATGTTGTTCCCGGGATCTGCTGGAGACACTTGCCTAGCTTGGGAGTTACCGCACCTACTGCTCCGATTACCACCGGGACAACTGTCATCTTCACCCTCCACATCTTCTCGAGCTCTTCTCTGAGCCCTTGGTACTTCTTCAGCTTCTCGTGTTCCTTCTTCCTGATGTTTCTGTCATTTGGTATCGCTACATCTATCACTATGGCTGTCTTCCTCTTTGTCTAACACCACTATGTCCGGTTGGTTAGCCATCAACAGTTTGTCCGTCAGTCAAACTGTCCCACTGCCTCTGTGCTGTCTTTCAGTCCAGCTTTGTCCAGCCACTGGTTGGATTTCTCGATATCAACCACTCCTTCTATCTGCCACTGGTACATACTGTGCACGGGCCTGTTCTTCCATGATGGTTCCTCTCCTTGGTTCTCTTCTGTCTCAGGTTTCTGCTGCCTGAGGTAATCCTAAGCACGTGGCCATCTTCATGATGTATTCATGGATCTTTATTGTTTCATCCTGCATACTGGTTATAACACTCACCAGCCCTCAGCCTTCTCCCTTCCACTTAGTGTACAGTCTCAGGGTGCTGGATTTCAAGCTGACAGTGTCTCTCAGCTCTCATATTTTTTTTACAATTAAATCATTTAATGATATCTGAAGTCAAACTGTTTAGAATTACAGCGCATACACAGACACATCAGACCCTAATCTGGGCCTCGTTTGGGCTACTTATGGCACTTTTGGCGTTGCCAGATGTGGACCACACGTCTTTACATCGATTATAGGAAGTTTTTTTCATGTGGACCAAATGCTATAACACACCTGACATTTGGCCAATGTAACGCGGACCTAACAATGACAAACGTGGACTACAAATATTGCTGTCAGGAATTAGATTAAAGGAATAACGCTGAGAATTCAGTATTTCCTTACTGGTAATTATCTTGAGAGTCCAAGAAATTCCCTTGGAGGATCCTGACCCCTGGTTTGAAAATCACTGCCTTTTAATTTCAATAATCTCAAGTCATTTAAAGGTAACACAGAGTTCAGCATCTATACACCCGCAAGTTTTTTAGATTTAACGCACATAATAGGATAAGAGCATAATGAGGCTATTCATGGAAGATTATTCGAGACTGAGGAAACTTAAGGCATCAAAACAGAAACTATTTTAAGATCACTCCAAACACGAGTTCCCTTAAAAGAGTATTGGAGAATTATAATGACCCCAGAGGTGTAAAAGTGAGTTCAGACAGCCTACAGCTCCACTTTTCTTTAATGTATTTATTTTTATTCTCTGTAAACGTCAGATTTCCAGCTGAAAATGGGATTAAAAGGATGAATCCCTCAGCTGATCCTAGATCACCAAATTCCCCTCCAGAAAACTAATTCTCTCCCTCATGTTTTAATCCCCAGGGAGCAGAGTCCCCATCATGTGAGATTATATCTGCGATGTGGGTGGTGGAAGCGGGGGTGGAGAGGTGGGACGTCCTCTTTGAGAGAGGGGGAGAGGACGAACAAGAAGGAAAAGAAGGAGGAGAGGGAGTGGGGTGGGCTCCGGGAGGAGAAGTAGACCGGTCCACCGCAAGAAGTGACTTCAAACACGCGCGAGGCTCGCTGCAGGAGCGCTCAAACTCCGGCCGCCAGTCGTCGTCATGCGCCTCGGCTTTTAAAAGCGTCCCGGCTTCTGCTGCTGCAGCTGAAGAGGGGACAACTTGCTGTCGGTGACTCTTTTTTCTTAACAGAGTTTTGTGTCCAGCCGGTAGAGCTCTGAGCACGCGAACAGGAAGGAGGTGGATAACCCACTTCTCCAGGTTTCGGCATTGCGCCGCATTCCAGTCCGGCGCGCAGCGCTCAGGAGTCGGACCCGGTGCGCTCCTTCTCCCCGCTCCTTCTGAAGACTCCCGGATCTTTTCTGTTTGTGTTCAAAGCACCAATAATGCACAGAGAGACCCGCTTTCATTTAAGATAGATACACTCGAACACAAACACACACATCCCGTTTTTTTTCCTTCTGACTGGATTTGGATTAAATCCTCTTTTTTTGTACGATCATGTGTGGATGGTGGATATTTGTTGGCGCTCTGGCTGGGATCCTCACCGTCCCCCGTGGGATTCACGGTTGGTATTTCTAGTCTCTTTTCACCAAGCCACTTGTCCTCCTGTCCTGCTTGTTACGTAGCCAGGTCAGGGGTTATTAGGGACCACCATGCACGCTCGTATGAGATCCACCGACTCTAAATCGGATCGGATTTAGTTCAACCTCAGCTACTTTGTCCAGCACAGAGTGAAGAATTGTTCCAGTACGCGCAGAGAAATCTTGTGGAGGTGTGAAAGTTGCGGGCGGAGCGATCGATCACCTTTTCCATTAGGAATACTTTCAGCTTAAAATGAATGCAATTTAAGCTATAATTGCTCAGGACCCACAATCGCAGGTGGAGGACCGTGAGCCAGAGTGTTGTTACCCAAGGATAAGAGTTCCCATCCCAACTTCAGGGTTGACAGATTTTCCCAGAAGAGAAAAGTCAGCTGGTGAATTTCAAATGAGCTCTTTCATATGACACAAACACTCGTTTGATAGGATTTCTGAATGAGCACACTCCACCTGGGTTGAGCTGTGCAGTCAATAATTCTCTCAGAGTGGACCTGGAAATGTCTGATTCAGGGAGAACAGCTCGATTATTCACTAAAACGTGCTCTTTGATTATGTTTCAGTAACTAAAAGCATTTGTTAGGCGAGTTAAAACTGAAAAGACAAAAAATAAAAGTTTTAACTGAGCTGCAGAAATTATTTAACAGAATTTCCGACTTTAATTGTAGAGAAACAAATACTCTTAACTGAAACACAGACATACAGTAACCTCATATAACCTTAACAGTAATTAAAAAATCTCTGTCTTTAACCCAAACTTCAAAGTCAATTTGAGAAAGTGAAACTCAAAGAAAGGACCAGACTTAAATACACCCTTAAACTCCAGATTTTAGGCGAGCATAGTTAAGCAAAACAATCTTCTGCAGGTACTCAGAGTCACATTCAACAGACTGCAAATGAATCTGAATTAAAAAGCAACACATGAACGTGTTGTAGTTTTTCCATATTCATATCTAAACACCTTTTCTTTTTAAATCCAGTCTTTCTCACGGCCTCTGTGTTGTATAAATATTCATAACTCTGCATCAGATCTAAAATAGCTGCCCATGCACGGCTACAATATTCCCATTAGAGGAGTTATAATGCACAGGACTGTCAAGAGCTGAATCTAAAGCAGGTCTGTGCAAGTGCTGCTGCTTAACTGACCCATTCATAGTTTCTCTGTACTCCTCCTGTCAGACCGAGGCATGGTTAATGTTGTAGCCTGGTATCTGGCAGGTGAAAACCTCCTCTGCCTGCATGTAACAGCAGCAGCAGCAGCACCATATGCCTACCAAAGTCATTAGCATCCTCTCTCTTATTCTTGGCATGCGTTCATTCTGCTTGGCAGGACTTGCTTCAGTCAGATTCAAACTTTTATGAAGCAGGGTACCCTTTCGCTTCTTTCCACGCTTAAAAGAGAGCACGCTGGCATCGGCGAGCAGAGCAAAACGGTTATGAATGTTCAAATGTGATCAACGGTGAGTGCTGCAGGATGGACTGAAAGCCGAGCTGAGAACGGTGTTTTCTGGACAAATGTTTGGAGTCATGATGAGATTAGTGCTTTTCAATTAAGATTCCTTTGTAGAGCTTTGAGTGTGGCTCTGAGCATCTGCAGAATTATGATCTGCAACCGAATCAGATTAGAGTCGCACTCATCCAGGCGGTTATTGTTGAATATGCAAGCATTCCAGCTCAGGGTCTATGTAAATTAAACACTTTGAAGTTTGACTGCACTTTCATCTGATAAAACATTGATTTGGTGGTTTGGAGGCTTAAGTTTGGGTTAATCATAGGAGTTAAATGATTAGAACAACAGTACAAATGATTAGATTTCAACATAAAGCATTTCTGGGTTATTGTAGCGAAAAGATGCGCTGATCGTTTCATTTTGTGGCACATTTCTTTCAGAGGTGATGATGAACTGTGTCAGCATGTGATATCAAAGGAAAATATGAAAGTGTGGTAAAACGTGTGCAAATCTAGTCCTTGTTTTATGTTAGTAATCTTATTTTCAGCCTGTACTGTCAAAGTCTACACGTATTTAGTCCGTGATTGTCCTGAGCTGATCAGACATTTAGGGCTTCACTGCCAGCAAACACCGTTTAATACCTTAAGATCCTGTTCACAAAGAATCATCTTGTGGAAGTGGACAATGAAATCTAAATTTGAACAACATTTCCTATTTCAGATTTCCATAATCCTCCATTATCTTCCACCGAACAAAGTTCTTTCCTCCCTCAAATTTGAGGGAGAAATGAAAGTCCAAACAAGGATAGAGGCAGTGTTGCTGTTTCAAGTGGTTTTAGAACCCGATGATGATGAAGACAATAAATGTTTGGGGTTTTGTTGGTCTCAGCAGACACATTTGTGCTTAATCCAGACCTCCTGTTGCTCTCACACCTTGGTTATGACACTGGCAAGTATCTTGTGTGGGCCAGATGTGGGCCAAGTTTAGGAGCTGCCCTCGTTTCATTACCTGATATGTGGCCTATAAAAGCTGGATCTGACTCTGAGGTGCAGCAGTGAGACTAACCAGATGTTATTTATTGCTAGAAGGTTTTTAAAAAGTTTTGCTTAAATTCCTGAAATAAGGTCTGTGATTAACACAGATTATAGACAGATTTTTTACCATCATTTAGCCGTCACGCGGCATCTTTTCTTGGCGTTACTGAGTTTAAAAAGGCCAATAAAGGTTGCGCTTATTTATGAGACTATCATGCTGAAATGTGCAAGTATCATAAATCAGTACTTTCCTTTCTAGATGGCTTTCCCTCAGCCTCCATCACAGCAGTGATTGGAGTCATTTTTTGTCCTTTAACTTGCACTTTCAACAATCCATCTACAGAAATGAGAAACATCCTGTGTCAGAGAGAAGCTCAAATGCTGCTTCGTGGATATGTTATTTCTAGGATGGACTTTTGTAGATCTTTATTAACAGCTCAGTGGAAAAAAGCCTTCAGCTGATCAGAAATGCTACAGTATGAGTTCAGGGACCATACATGAAGATCATATTTCTCTCACATTAGCTTCTATTTATTGGCTCCCTATTAAACCCTGAATTAACAGAAGGTGTTACAGTGTTTTGTTTTATGCACCTCAGTAGTGAGGGAGACACCACGGCTGTGCTGTGGCAGTAGAATGGGAGGCAGAGCCTTCAGCTGTCAGGCTCTGATTTCATGGAGCTCCCAGTTTGGATTCAGCAGACAGACACCGTCTCTACTTTTAAGATTAAATTTCAAGCTTTCGTTTCAGATAAAAACGACGATGTGACATCGAACCACCCCTTTAGTTATGCTGCTGTAGGCTCAGACTGTTGGGGGACTTCCCATGATGCACTGAGCACTTCTCTCTGATGCGTTTATATCCCACTGTTGCATGTTACCAACTTTTGCCCGCTCTTTCCCATATTTTCATCTTTTC